GACCCCAATGGATTTCAAGTCCATCGCCTTAACCACTCGGCCACGACTGCAACACAACACATGCTATTCTAATGCCATTACAAATGTATAGGTTTTGAATGGCACTGAAAACGCGGTTTATTTAAATTACAGGTATTGCGCGTATTGTGTGTTATTTGCCAAATACAGGTACTGTTTATTTGATCAAGGTATATTATATTATTTATGACACCACTATCTACATGAGTGATGCATTTATTGAACGCATATCTCATTGATATCTCAATTGAGCACTTATTGTCTGTTAGTTTTGGTGACAAACATAGGCTGATAATCAAATGTGTAGACTTTCGCACACTTTTTACTAACTTAAGCCTTAAATGACTGATAAAATAGTAAAGCCTTTCGAGTTTGATTTGATGCATTTAAATATTGATTTGTGATATAATCAGGGTATTTCTAAACATTAAGTTAAGGCACGATTTATTTAAATCTGACAAATGCATTGTACAGTCTGTATGGCCAAATCAGTGCACAGTTACTGAGACATGAATTTAAGGATTAATTTGTGCATTAATGGCAGTATTCATGAAATCTAATGTTAAACCCATTGATAGTACGTTTAAAGAGGATTAAAGGGTTAGATTTGGTGTAGGATTGAAACAAACAGGTATTGAATGCGGAAATACTATAAACGGGGGGCAGAGGGGTCCGGGAGTACGTGATTGTGTGTGCATTGCATTCATAGGGCAAGGGATTGAAAGTTGAAAAGTTGTCAAATCAATGTTTGTATGACTGACTGACAATCACTGCATATTTGGTGAGAAATGAATGCCAAATGAGTGATAGACCGGTGTATTGGTGAGTGTGAGTGCACTGTAGTGTGAATGGTCAGCACGTATAGTACAGTACACTGTACCGTATTGTACAGTATATTGCGGTGAACTCTTGTCGAAGACTTGACTGTGAATGCAATGCAATGCCAATGAGTGAGAGAGAGAGTTGATGTGAAGTGCGATCGTATGCTATGCTATCCTATGAGAGAGCGTACGAGTGAGTGGTGAGTGAGTGTATGCCTGAAGCCTATGCCTATGAGAGGCCTCTGCTATGCATTGGTTTGCAAACTTTCAGCCAAGTGTTCATACATTGAATGCATTGAAAAAGTGGTGACATTTTGTTTGCTATGCTTTGACTCAAACACAACACAACACATCCAAACACAACACTCTTTGCAATCCAATTTCACTCAAACTTAAAACTCATTTCAATTGAATTGTGATTTGAATCAAAAGACAATTTGCGCCACAATTTGTAATATAAGCCATTGAATGCCATTATACTGTATATTCATAAATCGCTAATTGTTATCAATTTGTACATTGAATGTCATTATAGTCGTGAAATACATTTGTTTTGTGATCCACTCATCCATTCATTACTATAAGAAGTGTTAATCATTTGATTCATTATTTGATTCATAATTTGTTTTAAAAATATCTCTTTTTATAGTCATTTCAAAAGTGATTTACAAAAAACAGACTAACATTTGACTCTAATTTATAAATCAGTTTTCGGTTTGTTTTGTATCCAAAGCATTGTGTTTTGAACTATGGATTCAAATGCAGATCATATCCATACCATTGATGACGATGACAAAGAAGTGCCTTATATATCATCACCAGATGATGCGAATGCCAGTAATGGTAACACCACTCACCACACGGTTGTCCACCATTTTCACTGTCTTTAACTGTCTTTGTCTTCATTTAGGTCTCAGTTGCGACCAAAACGACCGCCAAATACAAGACAATAAAACGGATGAACCGATTGAATGCCAAACGAGTGCTTCCGATGATGCCATCGACCACAAGACACAGACAACCGATAAGACCATCGATGGAAATGACGGACAAATTGATGACGATATGGATGACAAGACAAAACCCGTTTCGACAAACCCTTCCAGACATCAGTATTCAAAGGTATGAAACACTGAATTGATTAGTCTTTCGTTCGTTGTCTTCAATGGTATTATTGATTGTCACGTCTTTAGGAGGAATTGATTGCGATCTCAAAGCTATGTGCGGCTCGTATTCGTCCGCAATGTTTAGACAGTGCTTTCAATAGGTATGAAATGGTTATGCTTTTTGTCATTAAATTGTGGCCCGAATTGGGTATCTGTGGGCCCCGGGATGGCTTATAAGGCTACTGTCCGGTCACTAACCCACACACACTTAACCCGTCCCCCAAATGAACAAAGCATTGGTATTATATTAATGATGAGTTTTCTACCCAAAGTCCGGACGGATTATGGAATCCGGAAAAGTGGATGTCATTCCGATCTCCCGTTCCCCTCACTTCCACGACTAAACACAATTACGGCAAACGCGAGGGAAACGAGGCGTTCCCTAAAAAGCCGATTAATAATGATCTGAAGGATAAGATGGATGACGTGGATATAGTACTGAGCCCTCAAAGGAATAGTTTCGGCACCGGGTGTCATGTCGTACCCAAACCTCCGGTCATTGAACCAAAGAATCGCGAAT